CAATATGATCTTGCCCCCCAATTAGGCATGTAACTATATTCCCCGGTTTTGGGATAGGTATGAAAGAAAAGGCTCACTTTCCTTTTTAGGCTCAACTTGGTTGACGAAAGGATGGCTCTTTTGGGTAAAGTGTTTGGCAATTAGGCTCATGAAAGATGGCTTTGATCCTTCAGCTTTTCACTTTAGACCTCAAAATGATGACAATCATTCAACTTAAGTTAGCAAGATTTCCTTATTCTCTCCTTTTTTTCTTTTTTTCTTTTTTTCTTTTTTTTTTTGTATGACTCTATCACATTTGACTGCAACTTTGGCCTCTATTTTGCAACACATCAATTAGTTCATGGGAAGAATCAAGATCATCATCATCTTCCTTAACATGGATTTGGATCATTTGAACCATATACCAATCCTAAAATGGCATCATTGTATTCAGATTCATCATTAGCAAAGCTTGAAAGCAAAGAGAAACATGGATAAGCAACAGCAGGTGAGGAAAGCATATATATGCAAGTAAAATTTTTGTTCTTTTTTGTTTTTTTGATTTTGATTTTTTTTTTTTTGAGCATATTAATGGCATCAAGAAGAGTTGCATCAAGTTTGAAAGATGACAATATGGCAACATATGTTACTAAATTGTAAAGATTGGGAAAACTAATTAGCATGATAGCAAATATTTCAGAGAATATAAAAGAGCTTGTTATTCCCTCCTTTCATGTAGCCACAAGCTGAGCTACTAGAAAGCTGACTCATTCTACTCATGGATGAATGAAGCAGAGAAAAGCTTGACTGTCCAATTGGTCAAAGTGTCCCCAAGGCAGAAGTAATGGTCATGTCAAATAGGGGTTCATCCTTAAGAGCAATAATCCTCAGGTTTCCCCATGTCCTAGATTTGCCACCTCATTCATTGAATTTAAATCCACATGTCTCGTGTGTAAGTCCACTTCAACATCATATCTTGGTGAGTTTATACAAGCATGTTGAGGGTTGCCTTCTAGATGGATGATGCATTGCTCCAAAGAGTGAGAAAACATAGGGAGACTATCATGCCTGATTTTTTTGTTTTTGTTCTTGACGTAGTTTACCTACAAACAAAAAATAAAAGAAAAATAAACAAAGTCAGAATAGTGTTAAAAGTCATCCCATAATTTTGCATGATCTAGTGTTTCAACAATTGCTATATGGATTCACACATTGTTGATTTCCAATCCTTAAGGAGCCTCAGATGAAGCAAAATATCTTTGAACGCCTTGAGATTTCCATAGACTTCAAGGGCTATAGAAAAAAACACTTACAAGCAGTTCAACATGCATTACAAAGATCATTCATTACAAAGCAAAAGCCTAGTACATCACACTAAGTACATCAACATGGTAGCATTCAAGTCCTTAGCAAAATCTGACTCCTAGATCTTTCAAAGTACAATTGTTCAATGAGTAGTTGCATTCTTTTCCTTAGAGAATCCCTTGATTGCTAGAGCCATATAAAGTGTGATGTGCCTGAGCTTTTGATCTTCAAGGCTGCTCTTGGTTCATGTCTTTCTAAGCTTGCCCCCCTAGACTTGGCAATTGTGAATGATAGGAGAGAGATGCTTGCAATTGGAAATCTCCTCAATCCTTTGTTGGTCAAAACTTTCTCCATGGATGAATATTTCAAAAGGTGTCTTGATTGACGAAGAATCGCACTTGACCATGTATGAATCCATATTTCAATTGTCGAAGGCAGAGAATCAAACAAGATTATGGGAATGCAAGACAAGAAATAAACATGGATGCTCAACAATAGACAAAGGATGCAAGAAGATACATATGCTCTAAAGTGATAATGTGTGTGGAGTTGTATCCTAAAGCATGGATTTTTCTTCATTAAGTATGCCAAGCATGTTTCAAAAGAAAAGCTGGCGATTCACTATTGCAACCCATTAAATTGGCATTCATATGAAATATCATTTCTTTGAAAAGAAAGCAAATGCCATGAAGCCTGAAGAAAAAATGAATGGTGTGATACTTGGAGAAAATGGATGATGTGATGCTCCAAAATTATTTTGATGTCTAAAAGATGGACTTTTCATGAATTTATCTTGAAAGAACCTCTATTTCCTTTTTCTTTTTTTTTTCAAAAATGTGAAATGCAGTGCAAAATGCATGTGAATGAAATTTCCATTTTCATTTTTATGCACTTGTTTTTGAGCTATGAAATGGAAATAGTGATGGTTGAAATGAAATATGTGATGAAAAAGGGAATGTGAAATGAACATGGAAGAAATTTTCATTTTCA